CAGCACTGGCGAAATCTTCCAACTGAACCATAGCTAAGCTTTATCCGAAAAAAGTCGCTAGGTTTGTCAGTATGAATATTCTATGGAAAAAAAGCCTCTAAAAGGGTCTGAAAGTTGCTAAAGTCGCGCTCGTGTGTGTGTGTGTGAGACGCGGGAGCTGATGGCAGGGGACAGTGGATATTTGTGGCGGTCAGTGGATATTGTGGATGAGTTATTCTGTGTCATCACGTTCTATTAGTTCTACAGCTTCAGTTTCGGAACTTTCACGCTTAGTAACACATACAGCTGTTCCCTCACCACAGTGCAACAGTGAAAAGGGACCCCTCTAAAACAGTGTCGCGTTCCGAACGTTGTTTAAGCGACATACAACGGTACAACATACATTGCGGTATTTTAAAAATTAATATCATAACAAAAATAAACACCGGTATTCGGTATGAACCGGTTTACCGCCCAGCACTAGCTATATATATGCTACATGAAGATGGAAATGAGGGATAAACGCAGACTTTTTTGTATTTTTAGAGGTTCATTTTCAGAGAGAATATTATATTTTTAAATTATCAAACGGCTTCAATTTTGATATGGTTATATAGTGTTTAAAAGTTTGGGGTCAGTAAGAATTTTATTTTGAAATAAAATAATACTTTTTTTCAGCAAAAATGACAGTACAGACATTTAAAATGTTATTTATAATTCAACTTTTATATTCATCAAAGAATCCTGAAATAAAATGCATCAAGATTTCATATACAAATATACAAATACATTTCCATACAAATGTTGAGCAGCACAACTGTTTTTTTATATATATATTAGCTTTGTCATCACATGAATTAATTACATTTTGAAATATATTAAAATAGAAAACAGTTATTTTAAAATTGTAATAATATTCCAAAATATTACTGTTTTTTCTGCATTTTTGATGAAATCAATGGAGCCTTAATGAGTATAGGAGACTTCTTTAAAAAATATTTTAAAATATTACTGACCCCAAACAGTTGTAAATATATTTTTATATTTTAAAAAATAAATTCACCAGGTCCAAGAGAAAGGACATGAAAAAAAGTTAAATGGGTGTGCTAAAAAGATAGTGCTTCTATTCCTCCAGTTCTTGAAAATGGCTTACAGCTTTATGAAGTAATTTTCAATGTAAAAAAAGAGAAACTTATTATGTACATGCACATTTTGAGCATGTTTTTTATTGCTCCTCTGACAGGATGCAAGAGAACTAGACCCCAAGCAAATTAAATGTGCATTATAATTCCTTATGCAACAAATACCATGATATTAAACATACAAGCAATGATATTCCAGGTTCTGCCTCATTGGGTCTCTAAACAAACATGAATCTGAGTACAACACAACTAGGGTGTAACAGACAATCTGAAGGTAAGACTCTTTAAACACACTTAATTTCATGTATTTAAATGTTTGTCTAGTCACTGTGAGTCCAGTGACGATTTATTTTTCTGTTTTGTCAAAACCCTTCATTGTCATTGAGATGGTCATCATTAGGACATGTGATCATCTTTGCTTATTGGTGAGATCCTTTTATATGTTGCTTGTCATTTTAGCTTTCTTTCATTTGTTTTGTATGTTATCATGCTGTGTTCTGATGTGCATGGAATCAATTTGATGATTTTTATTAAGGATATCAAAACATACATTTCAGATCCAATCAAAGGCAAACTCAAGTACTATTTACAAGATAATAAAAAGTATGGGGCAGCCAAAGCACAACATCTCATTGAGGGCCACCTATGCTTGTCTTACATACACTTTGAGCCATTATTCCGAAATTATAGTTCGTGAACAAAAACAGGAGTGCTTTTAAAAACGAAAATTCGGTTGTTATTTAACTCACCCCGACTGACTTTCTTCAGTGGATCATGAAAGGTGAATTTTCAAAGAATATTTTGGCTACCTTGTCCAAAATGACAAAAAGAGCACAATTAAAGTATCATTCACCAGTGTTATTTTAGTATTATTTATATACAGTTATAGTATTTTTTAATATTTTGAATTAGTTCATACCTTGTGTGTGTGTGTATGTATATACATTGTGATTTGTATATATATATATATATATAGTATATATCCAACATATTTATTTTAGTTAGTTGCAAAGGTTACATTCTTGAATTTTAATTATAGTTTTAGTAATTAGGTTAATTATTTCAGTATTTATTATTATTATATATATATTAATATTTACAATTAGCTATATATATACATTATACATATATATCATTATGTGCTTTTGTAATTTTTTAAAACATTTCTATGTATTTATATCGTTTTTAGTAATTAGTAATTTTTTGTCATTTTAGAACGTATTCAACGTATTTATTTCAGTTAGTTTCCAAGGTAAAACATTTGTACTTTTCGTTTAAGTTCGTTTAAAGGGGTCATATGATGCTATTTTAAAGATCATTATTTTGTGTATTTGGTATAACAGAATATGTTGACATGCTTTAATGTTCAAAAAACACATTATTTTTCAAATACTGAACGGCTGCATCAACACTACTGCTGTTCCTTGAAACCACGCCTTCTTTTTTTGCGTGCACATTTGGGCGGCATTTTGCTAATATTTCCACATAGTGATGTAGATATGTGGGGGCGTGTTCGAACGAGGCGTTTTAGGTAGGCGTTGCTGACTCTTAACTTTTATAAAGAATATCTCTTTGGATTTGAGACTTTAGTCTTTGCAACTTTACAGATCTTCTTTATGCACCAAGAGCTTGTACCACTCCAAAGAGAAAGGAAAACTTGAAATCGCATCATATGACCCCTTTAAGGGTTATATTTGTGTTACACTGAAGAAAGAAAGTCAGAAACAAGGAGGGTGAGTAAATAATGCGAAAAGCTTCCTTTTTGGCGAAATATCCTTTGAAAAATGTCTTTGTTAGCTTTAAATTTAAAAAAGTGACACAAATTTGTGTAAACTTTAAAAACACTCTTTTATTTTACCTATAGATATTGTGATATACTTTGATGTGTATTATACTTTTAAACATTGAGTCATGGAGTTATTGTCTTATCTATAAAGAGCAGAATTTCTTCATATTAATGATGATTTTGTTATGTTCGAGCTTTGCGAATGATTTTGTGTGTGTCACACTGTGTAATGTGCAATGCTGTGTTTTTTCTCATCTCCCATCACGCATTGTCTCCGTCACGTAGACTTCTTGAAAATAGTGCAATCCTGGATCAGTACGAACGGGCTTCAATGAAATATGAAAATGTGGACCGGAGATATACACCAGCATGATAATAACATGGACATTTTAAAGACAAATTTATCAAAACAACCTGCAGATGTAAAGGAGGACGTGGATTCGGTAACAAAAGAAGTGACTGTGATGAAATCGCTTTAACGTGTAGCTCCTAATTTAGGCTCATTGCCTTTGTTATGGTTACTTATTGAGGATTGCAGAACATTACATGAATAGATGTGAATTAGGCCTTTCAGGACTGTTGTAGTGCATGCGTTTTATTGTCATGTTTTGCCACCAAAAGTTGTCTTTTTATTTGTCAAAACACTTTTATTTAAGATGTCGGATATTTGTGACTTTCAGCAAACACTTTCTATTCACATATTTGTCAAATTCACTTTAATGTTAAGATTTGCATGCATGTTTTCTTTCTCATTTTTAAAGTGAGTGACTGTGCATTTAGGTGCAGCATCGAACCCAAGACTAATTTATTGTAGATATGTTTAATTACAAAAAATATATATATAACAAATGGAATGACACTAAGCCCTTCCCTCCCCTAGTTTACTGCTATACTTACTAACTGCATGCTAATCATCATAATTCAATAAATCATAACATTTAAACATAAAATACCATGAATGATTAAACTATGATATATTTCCTTTACATAAATATGTTTTGAAATACCGTAAACTCTTCCAGTTGCTGTTGTTTAGGACAAATGATGGATAACAGTGAGTTAACATTTGCTACATTTTAGTAGCACACAATCTTTGTATGTTAACGGTGTTCTATCTTTTGTAGATGATTTGTTCAACAGCTGAATCACCAATACGAGCAGAGTTTATGCTTTGTCAAAGAACAATAAACTTATTATAAATAAAGACATTAGTAATTATAAATCTTAAGTTTACTTTTTATGCTTTTGTGTGATCCATTAACCTGCGGTGAATGTCAGATGTGATATCAACAGAGCGTTATAAAACCCCATATGCAAGACATTAAAACATCATACTCTCTCTCTCTCTCTCTCTCTCTCTCTCTTTCACACACACATACACACAGTATGTCAAATGTCCCTGTTTTTTCAAGCTACATTTTTAAACTAGTGTCACCATACAGATTAAAATGAATTATCAGTGTTTCTGTCTGTCTGGCCATTGTCTTGACTGTTTTGTTTTGAATTTAAACTATATAAACAAAGGAAAATAAATGATTATGATGAATTAATAAATTAATTAACATTATGGGTGAATTTATACTTTCGTATTATATGTAGACAAAATGTCATCTGAAGTGGAAGGCACAAAAGGTTTGTTCCAGCTTTTTTAATTTTTTCATGTTATATATATATATGTGTGTGTGTGTGTGTGTGTGTGTATGTTTTAAGTCTGTTACTTTAAAATGTAATTTTATGTGTTGCATACACTTTAAATACAAGTTTTAAAATAGCAAAAGGTAATTGTGACTTTTATGTCACAATTCAGAATTTTCTCAGTTCTGTAAAAAAAATAATAAATATAAACTCAGTAAAAATGCAATTACCCATTTTTATTCCATGGTGGGAAAAAAGTTTACATCTCAAAATTAAAAAAAATTTTCTCAGAATTGCGAATTTATATCTCACAATACTGAGTCTATCATAATGATTTATGATGTTACAAAAGATTCAATTTAAAAAAAAAAAAATGCTGTTCTTTTAAACTTTATATTAATCAAAAAATCCCAGGAAAATGGTTTCTGCAACATTGAAAATTGAGCACAAAATCAGCATTAGAATGATGATCATGTGACACTAAATACTGAAAATCCAGCTTTACATTACATTTTAAAATATACATAATATTTTATAAATATATAACCAAACATATTTTAATTTGCAATTACTTTTTAAACTGTATTTTTTGACCAAATAAATGCAGCCTTGGCGAGCGTAAGAGATTTTTCCATAAACATTAAAAAACGAAATCTTACCGGTCTGGCCACAAACTTTTGAACAGTAATGTAAATATCAACACATCAGTGGTGAGACTATTCTTTTAAACATGAATATGGAATGTGAATGAAATCTAATTTCAGATGTGAAGTTTAATGGTCTGTTGATTTCTTTGCAGGCTGTTACATCATACCCTACACCTCTCCTGACTGACATCTTGTGGAAACAGCCTCAAAGAACTTTGTCAATTTTTAGAATTTGATGGGGAATATCTTGACACCATCTCTTGCAAAAGTAGCTGATGAAGCTCTTGGGGACTAAAACATTTTTCAGACTGGACTGAAACTGAATACACAAACTGATGTACATTTTTCATTCATGAGACATGTTTTTGTTTCCTCTGATTTTATGATTGTAATGCTCAGATTATTTTTCAATACAAACTGTAACGTCCTGAGTAGATGCATAGCGTTTTTACTTTGCGAGAAGCATAGTTCAAGACCTTTAAACCATATGGTGCGATACTTGAACCAACCGATAAACAGGTGTAGTTTGTAATCCTCCTTTTACAGGGGTGATTTTACTGTGACTATTGCCTAGTTAGATGTCTCTGACTAGCATCTCAGATGTTTATTCTCTTAATGTACAACATTAAGGTCAATTATGGTCATGTCTATGCATACAGTAAAATGTAAGTGTGCCGAGCAAGTCTTTCAAAGAATTGGTATCAAGTTGCACACCATGTCAGATTATTTCGCTTCTACTTATGATTTGACAAACCTATTAATTTGACAACGTATTTCGTTAATATATTTGATTTATGCTGGACAGATTGTTTTAAATAAAGTGATACAAACATATTCTATTGGACTACTTTGAAAGTGATTTTATATATGAACCCTAGACAGGTTTTTAGAAAGACGTTTTAAGGCATGTGTTAGCTGGTGATATGTACACTGATTACAAATAAGAAAAATAATAGTATATGTCATGGACACTTTCATAGATGAATGGAAATTGTAATTGAAACAAAATCCAGCAGATTATGGAATACAAATGTCAAAATTGAATCAAGGATGTTAGCATGAACATACAGTACTATAACATAAAAATGAAGATGCCATGTAGCCTATTTACTACAACGCAAAAGAGACCGAAATGTGTCTTTACAACATGAATACATAATACATTTCATTTATTGACTTTCAGTAATTCTAAATACCAAATGAATGTTCATAATTAAGTTGCTGGCTGAGATTTGCCATTGAAGTTTGCAGACAAATAATGTTCCACAAATTGTATTTTACCTGATTGTATGTTTGTTCTGATTAGTTTTATTTTTGTATTGAAAGAAAGAAAGAAAGAAAGAAAAAGAAAGAAAGAAAGACTAGGCCTGCCAGACTACTAATGTTTTATTTCGGTTACACTATTGTAATTATGCCATAGATGCGGTTTGTAGAATTTTAAAATGCAGCCTCTTGAAATATTGTAAAACTGTTTTGTGTTCGTTAGTGTTACAGTTAAATATTTTACTACCATAAGATAAAGTCCAGTGATAAATTCTGAGTCGCCTCTCTAGTGAATCGGAACTTTTATTTTGAAATATAAAGGCAAAAGGCGTGAAGTCATCCAGTTCAATTTAAAGGGGTCATATGATGCTTTTTTAAAGATCATTATTTTGTGTATTTGGTGTAACAGAATATGTTGACATGCTTTAATGTTCAAAAAACACATTATTTTTCAAATACTGTACATTATTGTAGGTCCTCTATGCCCTGCATCTCTCAAACGCTTCATTTTCTGCAAAGTCCCTCCTTCCGACAAGCGCAGACTGCTCTGATTGGCCAGCTGACCCAGTGCATTGTAATTGGCCGAACACCGCAAGCACTCGTCGGAAATGTAACACCCCTTACCATAATCGCGAGCTTCATCTTTCAAAATAAATGTAAAGACAGAGCCCGAAAGGGGAACAGAGTCGCGTAACAGACACAGTGATGAAGCTGGTATGTGTTTGCAGTACACAAGCCACGGTTAAGACAGCTGACGCCACTGTGATGTGACCCTGTCTCTCTCTCACACACACACACACGACGCGATACTCTGCGTTGTGCTGTTCTGTTGTAAATAAATCTTAACCAATGATTCCTAATTGCATCTACTTCCGGAAGGCCAAATAAAGTGCTTTTGCTTTCGCCTAGAAACACACAGCGTCTCCCTGACATGCTGCTTCAACACTAACTGCGGTTACTGAAACCACGCCTTCTTTCATTGCGTGCACATTTGGGCGCATTATGCAAATATTCCCACATAGTGACCTAGATATGTGGGGGCGTGTTAGAACAAGCCGTTTTAGGGGGGCGTGGCAGAGTCTTAAATTTGATAAAGAATATCTCTTTGGTTTTGAGACTTTAGTCTTTGCAACTTCAGGGATCTTATCTATGCACAATCAGCTTGTAACACTCCAAAGAGAAAGGAAAACTTGAAATCGCATCATATGACCCCTTTAACTACTTGTTAAGCGATAAGTAGACATGTGAAAGTCAGTTATGCACGGTATATCGTTAAGATTAACTGTTTAGACAGATCATTTATACTAGAAGGAATCATGATGTATTCGTATTCAGTATTCAGTATCGGAAGAACGACAAATTGTGTGCAGCACTTATTAAAACGCGTATATGTCAGATTACCACAACAGATTTCAGCTTTACACACACAACCACCTGTTTTTCAAACAAACCGATGTCCTTCGTCTAAGTGGACATTTTATCACACTCAATCGCTCTACACAGGAGTTCATTTCTGTAGTAAGAACGATGGGCAGAAGGACACTGACCAGGTGTCAGTTTCCAGAAGTTCACACACACCTCCAGCACACAAAGGTACGTACAGCTCAGAAAATGACCACAATGTACATAGTTTCCGCCAAAATACCATATTTAGGGTCAGAGGCGGACAGTAACTAAGTACATTTACTTGAGTATTGTACTTGAGTACACTTTTTGAGTATCTGTACTTGGGTTAGGAATCGGTATTGCCAACCACTGTCACTAGAAAAAGTAATGAAACAAAATTATTGTCAAGCTACTCTTTACAATAAGATTGCATTTGTTAACATTAGTTAACTATATTAGCTAACTTGAATTAACGATTAAAATACTACTATAAAACATTTACTAATGCATCATTTCAATTAAAAGTTGTGTCTGTTACTTAATGGACAATATCTATAAACTAACAATAAACATTCAAAAATATTAATTAATACTGTTATAAATGTATTGTTCATTATTAGTTAATGTTAGGTGATGGATTAACTAATGTTAACTAAAGGAACCTTATTGTAAAGTGTTACCCAAAGTTTTTTTTTTTTTTTTTTGGTCGTTACAATAACTGCAGTAAATATGGAAATCTGGAAACTACTGCCACTATTAGTGCCAATATTCCCTAGCTATTCTGTATATAAATGTCTGATTCTGTTTGTCTTTCCTCAACAGTCAAACAAGCAGGCAAAGATTTCACCTATTTGATTGTGGTGTTCATTGGACTCGGTGTAACAGGTGACGTGTTTGATTTGGCTCGAACCAGGGCTGGATTGTGGACCATCATGCCGCAGTGCCTCAGACTGCCAGAGGCCTCTGGGGCCCAGGGCTCATAGCATGCAAAAAGATCACCAGGGCTTTTAGGCACCAAAAAGCATTTCCTAACAGTGATTGGGTTTATTTTTGTATTATTTATATGCTTTTTTTATATGCTATTTTTACTAGAACTAGATTTTTTTTTTTCAGTTATTTTAATTTTAGTTCAAGTAATTTTGTTGTGTTTTTTTATATATATTTCTATTTAGCTTTCATTTATTTTTCCTTCAGTATTAGTGATTTTTGTGTAATTATTTTTTTTTTTATCTAATATTTATATTTTATTTTATTTCAGCTTTATTTTAATTACCAAAATTTATTTTAATAGTTTTAGTTTTAGTTAACAGTAACAGCACTGATCCAAAATATGCACCCAAGGTCTTATGGGATCATGATCCGGCTCTGGTTCAAACATCTATTTGGTGATGTTACAATCATAGAGTTCAGTTAAAGAATATTAAATTAAAGTGTATATGTTAAACAGTGTAATAAATGATCTGGTTGTCATCCTTATTAGGTGGACTGCTGTATGTGGTCTTTCAAGAGCTGTTTTCCTCTTCAAGCCCAAGCAAAATTTATGGAAAAGCTTTTGAGAGGTGCAGAACTCACCCAGAGGTCAGCATATGGTGATTTGTTCATTTTAAACTATACAAATATGCAAACCAAATATATTAAATGCCTGAATAAATCAGGTATTTGCTTTATGTAAAGGTAATTGGAGCTTTTGGAGAGCCCATCAAAGGCTATGGTGAAACCAGTCTGCGTGGAAGAAGACAACAAGTCAGGTAAAATATAGAATATCAGTAAATACAAACACTTTTGTTACACCTCCCATATGCTTGACAAGATTTTTCTTTCAGTCATGTCGAGTACATGAAGGATGGACTCAAGTACATGCGGCTGAAATTTTACATTGAGGGATCTGAATCAGGATTACGGGGAACTGTTCATTCTGAATCAAAGGAGGTACGTTACCACATCTCAAAAATGGTTATATTACTGTAGTTTCATGTAGACAAATATATGACAAATTGCTTCTTCTGTCCGACAGAATCCTGAGACTGGAAAATATGAATTCAGGTATATCTTTGTAGACATAGACACATATCCCAGGAGGACAATCGTCATTGAAGACAACAGATAAAATTAGTTTTAACACTGTTATGCAGTATTGGTAATTTCAATAGCAGTGGATCGGTTTGAATTTTGTTGTATTGATCTTCCACAGATTAGTCTACATAAACTTGTGATGATCTGGATATTTGGACATGAGAGCACTTGTACAGAAACATCTGATATTTTGTACAAGGATTTGCATGTTTTTATTATAAAATATGTTCTTTGAAATAAAGATCAATAATAGAATTTATATAGAAAATCAGTTTTATTCAATGTACTGTAACTGGAATATAGGTTAATAAAGAAATTTGATATCTTTATTGTAAATGGTCTGTTGTTCTTCCTTTGCCAGAATTGCCTGAAACATTTAATGCAATGTAAATTCATTCTAAGTTTTTATTTCCTTTTTTTTTTTTTTTTTTTCGACGATCACAGTGTATTAAACGTATATTGTCGTTGTTATACAGAAGAGGAATAAATGGCAGGAAAAAAGAAAATTAGCAACTGGACAAATAATGGCAAAACCTAACAAATATATAACTAAATTAACCTCTAATTTTGCATATACAGGTAGAATGTAAGTTTAAACATGTTTTTAATGTCCCTAATATTTTAACATGCAATATGAGAAAATAACACATTTAACGTTAGACTGTTATGTAACATATATATCAACTTCTAGTTATGAATTTAACCTTGCATTCATAAATGCTTCTTGTGCCCGGTAGGTGGCGGGTTATTTCTATTTCTGAACAAAACAGAAGGTGAATGATATTTAAGATTACATAAAAACATAAAATATAGCTACTCTGTGGTCGCTCGCAAGGTCCTTCGAAGCATATCTACGGTTTTAAACTTACATAAATAATAGTAATAATAATATGTTTACTTTTACATCTAAATGATTTAACTACAACAACGAAAACGTAAAATAAACGATGAAGACTTTTAATTTGACGTTCTTTTCCCATGACTCCACGGAAGTGCCGACGCCTTGCGAGACAACAGAAGAACTACAACAAAACCTCCTCCGTTTGCTCATGGAAAAAACACAGCTCTCCAGATTTCTCGGAAGCCCTTTGAGGCTCTCAAGTATTAACATTTACTAACAGAGCGAGGAGCCACACTCGGCTTAAAGGCAGCCAGTGAAGCCGAGTTGCTCGAAAAATTACACCCAAGTTTCGGTGTTTGTATTTTATGAAGGTAACGTTAAACATATTTTGTTAGCAAAGCGACTTCCTCTTGTCTCTAAGAGGAGCAGATGCTTCGTTAGCTGTCTAAAGCTGGATTATAACGCCACTTAAAACGCGCTTACAAGGTGAGCTGCTTTTCTTTTGACAAGTTATATTAATAATAAATAACTAGAAAAAGCCCTATGAATGCTTTTAAAGGTTTGGTGTTCCCGTGCGATGTTTGTTTATGTGTTTGTTTGTTTATATTGGTGAAGTAAGCGTGTGCTTGTTAGAGTTTGTTTTTAGTTTATATAACAGTAACCCAACCCTGTTTGATATACAATATATTTGAAATAAAGTCTGTTTTATATGTTTCTTGTGTGACTAAGAATCTGAGCTGCTTTAAACATGAGATCAGTTGACAGTTTGAGTGATTATATAGTATGTGGGTTGGGTGATTATTATAATTATGAGTAAATCAAGATTGCCTAGATCTCAAATTGACATTTTCCTTTGCAGATCTTGCCAAACTCTGTTATTGGTTCTTATTTCAGCTGATTATGGTAATTGATATCAACTGGTGAGCATGGAGCTGTACTGGTACATGTAAGTTTTGATGTGATTACAGTACATCGTATCCACATTGATTTTGTTTATTTTAGTTGGCATGTATTACGCAATGTGATGTAATCATATCAAGCCATGCTTGTGACTTTGAGACTTTGAACTTGTTCTTTATCTTGTTTTAGAGTCGTCATAATATTTATTATGATTAAGATCTTCTTCTACATCTGCTGGTATCGCTCAAGGCAAAGACAGCTGGCTGCGTACCTCAGCAATCCCCGAAACGCTCAGATCGTCATTGTTGGAGGACGAGCGTACCTGCACCAGATCTGTGAGAGACAAAATGTGAGTAAACTACAAGTTCAGTCCAATCAGGACTTTTTTTTCAAGGTGTGGTCGGCTTGGCTTGCGTCAGCCGCTGCTGATATAATCGCTGTTTGGAAATATGACATCGTTTAGCTTCCTGTGCAATACAGTGTGGGTCTCATGAACTCATTGTACATTCAGAAAGACAATAAGATAGACTGAAGTGTAATATGTTATGGTATCTTCTGTTGACTTCAAGTGGAATTTCACAGAAGATTTGACTAGGTAAAGGGCAGAGAGACTGATATGAGCTGATAGACAACTTTTTTTTATTTATTTTTTTATTACGCACTCTAAGGGGGAAAAGGATGTTGTGATTAAACACTAAAAATGTATTTAAATCCACTTTGTCTAAACCTCATCACTGTTTAGTCAGTATAGGCACACTTAGATTACATCAAAATTAATATTAGTTATTTGTTTCCATGACAAATAATATTAAGCAGCATATATCTCTAGCACCAAATTCAGCAAAACAATGATTTCTGAAGTATCATGTGACACTGAAAACTGTAATAACAGCTGCTGAAAATCACAGGAATCGCAAGAATAAATTGCATTTGAAAATATATTAAAATAGAATAGTTTTTTATTGTAATAATATTTCACAATATTACTTTTTATTACTGAATTTTTAAACAAATAATATTCAAAATTTTCATTTTTTAAAACCAGTTTTTTGAGTTTAAAACCCCATTTTAGTGGAGATCGACAGGCCCTTCAACTGTTGTCCAGGACGCATCAGGACAGATACCTTTTACGCTATTAATGTGAAGCGCTTATGCATTTTTGAAGGTGGCTTGGGTGATTTGGACCCTGTTGACACCTGTATTTAGCACTGTCTGCTTGTGATCGGATCACACAAAATAGATCTTAAACAGCATCTTAGTCTGTCTAAAATGGAAGACGGAATCTTTAATATCTGAACACAGGAAATATATATCTGCTCACAGGTTTCAAACTGAATGGAAGTCTGCATTCGGTGGAAAATTTGCAATTGAAGTTTTCAGCACGAGTGCATGTTCTGTCTGTGTCATTCACCTACAGGGAAGGTTTTGGTGAACTTCCACTTTTACTGTTTCACAACACCATTTTTGACCTTGGTGCTCTGCATTTTTTTTGACTCATCGTGTAAAACGTTTCACTCTCTAAGCTCAAAGCTACAACAGGGAGCTGTTAAACCAAACCGAGGGCAGGAGTGTCAGTTCTAGGGTGCGTGTGATTCGCACAGGCCACTAAAATGTGTGAGCTCTTCTGTTTTAGAGAATCATTTCTCTTGTTGGTGCTCAGCACTTGTCAAAAGTAATCGGTGCCTGTGAAAAACCCTCAAGAAGCCGACAAGATGGAACAAGAACGGAGTCCAGAGCTGAGGGCCATGACAGGGCTGACAAAACCTTTTAGGAATGTTATTGTTTTTTTTTTTTTATGGTATCTGTGATTGTATTATAAATGGGATTTCTTTAAAGAGTCTGAAATGTTCTCTCTGTAGCTCTAAAGTGAAGCTGCAACACTGCTTTTTAAATTCAGAAAAAGCCCTTTGTTTCTGAAAGAAAGCGTCTTATGTTCAGAAAAGCATCTGGAAGCAATTTGTAGCACAAGTATTGAAGACTATATCAAGCCAAAGAGCTTTGCTATTGAAGTAGGGTTTCTATTTTAATATTTCACTGGATATTTTGGATAAACATAGACTGACATCTGTTTGTGCTATATATTTATTAGCCCATCATACTTTTTCAAACTAAATTTTTATGGGATATATGCCTATAAAAAATGTTCTAGATTATGCAGGAATTTAACAGCAGTTTCTTCAGACGATATATAGCCCTATTTTTAGAAACCTTAGATGCCTGTAGCTCCCCACACAGGAAATGCCTTCAATTTGACAACAAACTGTTCAGAGAGATGATAAACTTTTGGCCTGTTTGCACGTTCACATGCCAGTAGTCGTTTTGTCATTCGTTCGTATAGTAGTTTTATAATTAGTGCTGTCAAACGATTAATCGCTTCCAAAATAAAAGTTTTTGTTTACATAATATATGTATGTGTGCTGTTTATTTATTATAATACACACACATTCAGTATATATTTAGAAAATATTTACATGTTGTGTATATACATTTATATATTTATATTATTACATTTTATATTTTATGTAAATATTTAATACATAAGCATAACATATTTGTCTTAAATATGTACATGCATGTGTTTGTATTTATATATATATACATAATAAATATACACAGTACACACTTATTATGTAAACAAAAACTTTTATTTTGGATACGATTAATCGTTTGACAGCACTATTTATAATGCATTTTACTTGAGTATTGTACTTAAGTACACTTTTTGAGTGAGTGTACTTTACTTGAGTATAATTTTTTCTGGGAACTTATGACTTTAACTTCACTACATTTGAAAGACAAATATTGTACTTTTCACTCCACTACATTTCTATCAAGGTCCTCGAAGTAGAAAGTCGTTACTCTGTAGCAGCTTTGAAAGTCAGTGGG